TTGGGGAGTTTTTTTTTTTTTTTTTTTTTTTTTTTTTTTTTTGCAAAAATGGTCTTTTAAGGTATAAAAAATTATATATTTTTTCCCCTTTAGTTTATGGCTTCTATTAAATTTGGTTCGAGATCAATTTGGTTTTTTAAAACCATATAAGGGAAACTCATTGGTTAGATCCTCGGTGAGCACATGTGCAACCATATCAAAATCTCAAAAAATTAAACTAAAAGTACAAATTGGTGTAAACCACATAGACGAAAAGTGTAATTTACTCCTTAGTATAATTTACACGTACAGTTTTTAATTGACACTCGATTAAGGATTACATCTGTCCATGTTGAACTTTCTAAAGAAACACCAACTTCAGACTTTTCAAAAGACTTGAAACGACACATTTTCTAATTTCCACACAAGACCTGGTCGATCTTTCAAGATCAGTTGCCCCGTTACCCGCCAAACACGCCACCTTACTTCCCAAACGCCTATAAATTTCCGATCTTCAGCATAACACTCAAAACACAAATCGGAAAACATGGCATCATCCGGTTACTCACAGTCATCAGCATTGCTCCTACTCCTCTCCTTCATTGCTTTCTCTTTCAAACCGTTAGAAGCTGCTGGCATAGCCACTTACTGGGGCCAACACACTGATGAAGGGACCCTAGCTGCCGCCTGCGCCACCGGAAACTACCAGTTCGTAAACATCGCTTTCTTGACTACCTTCGGCAATGGCCAAACACCAGTTCTAAACCTGGCCGGTCACTGTGATCCTGCCTCCACTTGCTCCAGTTTATCCTCCGATATACGAGCATGCCAGAACCAAGGGGTGAAGGTGTTTCTTTCTTTAGGAGGAGCCGTCGGGAGCTACTCTCTATCATCCCCTCAAGATGCACAACAAGTTTCCGATTACCTGTGGAACACCTTTCTTGGTGGCCAGTCCAATTCCCGGCCGTTAGGTGACGCTGTTTTGGACGGAATCGACTTTGACATCGAGTCCGGATCAGGACAATTCTGGCCGGACCTAGCTAGGGCATTGGCCGCTCATAACTCGGAGAAAAAGGTTTACTTATCTGCAGCGCCGCAGTGCCCTATCCCAGACGCCCATCTGGATTCAGCAATCCAGACTGGCTTATTCGACTACGTCTGGGTGCAGTTCTATAACAACCCGCAGTGCGAGTATGGAGCAAACGCTGATGCTTTATTAGCTCGATGGAACCAGTGGACTCAAGTCAACTCCAATCAGATTTTCTTGGGTCTGCCCGCAGCCACCGGAGCTGCCGGAAGCGGATACATTCCGCAAGATGTTCTTACGTCTAGTGTTCTTCCATCGATCAAGGGTTCTGCCAAGTATGGTGGGGTTATGTTGTGGGACAGGTTCTTTGATCAACAAAATGGATACAGTGCAGCTATCAAAAACAGTGTTTGATACATATATATATGTGTTTGTAGTTTGAATAAGTGATGATCACATGGTTTATGTAAACAGATGCATTAATTATGAATATTGGTACGCCAATAAAGAATAATTATAATACTACTTAACGATATGGTTTTCTTTTTATTATTTCTTTACTGTTGATGGGTAGGTTTTTTTTTTTGGTGAGAAAATACAAATACTGGATAAGGTAGTTTTAACAGGTTTACCTTTCATTTAATCCATTTTTATCATATTTTTATCTCTATCTGGTAAAATAGACGATATAAAAGTGAGTTATAGCATACTCCAGCAATTTAGTAAGAGTTTTGTTAAAATAACCTCAATGATGGACAGTGTGTGGACCCACACATACACCACACACATATGAACCAAACCTGGACAAGAGGGGTTCAACGACAGCTGATTTTATGTCGATTTCTAGACCGGAACGAATTGAGTTGTTTTTTAAAAATTAGGTTGAATCGGTGTGATAAAGCCGGTTAAAAACCATTTTAACCAGTTTATAAAGCTTAGATAGTTAGATTTCTCTTATTCTATTAAAAAACACCAATTGTTAAAGCAAATTGAACAGCTTAGTCGATCAGGTTAACCGGAGTGTACAGCCCGAAGGCCGACGTAAACCACTATCAAATGTATAAAATTTATTTTGTTTTAATTATATATGTATGCAGGAAAAATAGAAAATAGTCAAAATACATAAAAATTATAGAAGTCGGATTGAACCGGGCAGTTAAAAAACTGTTTTTTAAAACATTGGTTTGAATATTATTTTAGTTAATCTATTTAATAAACGTATGAAATAAAAATAATATAATTTATAGAAATTTATATTTTTAAGAAGTAATTGTTAAAACTTTCAAAATGACAGATAAATATTGTGGCCACACTAAATTTTATTGCATTTTATTTATTCAATTCTTAATAATGGTTACTAATCTTATTTTTCGGAAATACTGTGTATATTTTGGAAAATAACAAATTAACATGAAAAATAAGGATATTTTAATTAGTTTCTTAAAAAAACTTTTGGAACTATTAACCACTTGGAATGACCTAAAAACGATAAATTATATGAGGAGCCTTTATAGACCATATCGGAAAACAAAGCAACATATATGTTATGATTCAGAGCGGCGGTTAATATCCATTGTTTGTCTCGCAAATGTCAAAATTATGCATGTAATGCAATTAAAGATAAATAAAATGATTGCCCATACAGTCAATATTAGTAACCGAGAAGTTTACGGAGCAGAACTGTTAGCATATTATTATATGTGTGTTTTGTATATTGTTATGTCCAATGTTTTAAAAACCGGTTTTTTAGTTGAACCGGTATGGTGATCGGTTTTCGGTTTAACCGGTTCGACCTCTAAGTAAACCGGTTTCTATAGTTTTTATATTTTTTCGTATTTTCGTACACATACCTACATATACAAATCAAGAATATGATGTCCACAAGTTCAAACATTAAAATACACATGAAAACAAGTTGTAGATCATTCTAAATACATTAAAATAACTCATAACCATAGATTTTACATCAATCCACGTGCATGAAAAAGAAAATAAAGTCGTACATGAATATAAATGCATCAAAAAACTTCATAACATTTATTATGTGCTTTTATTCAGATAAATTTTAATAAATGTGAAAAAACTACCAAAGTTTATTATGCAAAAGGTTTCGATTCCATGTGTTTTTATTCAATTTAACCGGTTCAACCGGATTTTTGTAAAAACCGGCCGGTTCGATCCGGTTTAGAAATAGACATAAAACCGGTGATAGTTGAACCGCTCCATTTCCCGATTCCCGGTCCAACCGGTTCGACCGGCCGGTTCAAACCGGTTTTTAAAACATTGGTTATGTCTCCTTGCTTATCGTCGGCCCATCCAATGTATTTTCTATTTTGTATGGTATTTATTGATTAACAAATTAGGCGTAACACCCATGGGTTCATTTAAAAAAATAGGTATTATATATGTTCATTTAAAAAAATTATATATAAAATTTTAAATTGAATTTATAAGAAAAATAAAAAAATATTGAATTATTAAAATTAAAATGTTTTTCTCTTTTAAATTTAAACAAATAATTTAGATAAATAAACAAAGAAAATAATGAGCTTTAATTTAGAAATTTTGAAATTAGAAGGAAAGTCAACTAATGAAATTGAAATGTCTTTATTATTATATTTATTGCAATTAATACATTTAATAAAAATAAAACAACCACAAAATGTCATGTGGAAAAAAGTTAATTGAAAATAACCACAAAATGACATGTGGCCAAATCAATAAGAGTGTGACAAGTGGCAAAAAGTTTATGTTTTTCTAAGCAAGTCTTTGAAAATGACATGTTTCCTTATTCTAAGCAAGTCTTTGAAAATAGATAGGTAGAGTCGGCTTCTTGTGTTTCTATTCAACGCCCAGTTTTCTTTAACAGAGGAATAAACGAAAAGTTGCCTCATACTATGTTTTTCTTCATACTTAAAATCTTGTATCTCAGGTGCTCTAATCACTCAATAGGCTTGTGAAAAGCCTTTATCTTGTATTAGAGTTCATCCAAGTGTTTATGTAACACCCCAATTTTCAAAGCCAAAAATTTCATTTTAATTAAGTAACTCATAAAATAGTTTACCAAAAACATTGGCAATAATGATAAGGGTCCATTTTTCTGACTCATCCTAGGCCTTTGATGATATTTGATTCCCCAGGACCGACCCTGCTCCCTATCAACCCTAGTCGTTCCTACAGCCTGTTTCTCCTGCCTCGCTCCTTTTTTCTCCTCCTCCTCCTTTGTTATTGCTTCCTCTTTATGATGGGTTTTGAGCATTCTAACACTTCCTAAGTGTACATGCAACCCTAATAACCTTGGATCTAT